TGAGAGGAACGGCGGAGCAACCAATCAACAAGACGATGTGATTTCTGATTTTTCGTCTTGATTTTTTTTGTTCAAAAAGAAACACAAAGGAAACAGCTCCGAGGTGTGGGAACATTTATAGAAAACATCAGGACAAATCTGAATTGTATGCAGAAAAACATCTATCTATGTTCGTCCCACTCTCTCTACACCATTTTACAGTTTAGGGTCCAAAAGCACAAAACATTGTCTCTGACAATCTTAGTCATGTTACAAACAGAAGTATGCACACAAAGACACACACGTACTCACACAGACAATGAAGCACAGAAATGGATCCGTCTGGCTCTAATCGCCACCGCTGCTGTTGTTACAGCTCCTCTTCTCTGGTCAGGATAGTGACAACAATGGTTATAATGGCCACTGCATCGGCTAATTCACAAAGTTGAGGTTATATATAGAGTCCCTCTTATGTTGTCTCCCACTGACAGTCCCCGAGCTGTGGATAATGAGACAAGCCTTAATGGGGTCATTTTGCATTGACATGGTTTTGTCAGGCTTAATGAGCTGTTACATCAAAGGTGATAGAAAGGGGCTTTTATGAGCGAACATAAAAAAACAACATGTTTTGATCTGAACCAGTCAGATATATGCTATGTTGCCAATGTTAATAATTGAAATTTGGCTGCTGATACGTTTTTTTAATCTAAAGTACGTTATGTCTTAAACTGTGTAATAACTAACCTGCTTAATAATCTGGATCAGTGAGCCCAGAATCATAGGGAAAAATCAACACTAAAGGCAAATCCTCTTACAGGGGAAAAGCAAAGAAAGCTATCTATTACATTGGCTTGCTTCATTGATTTGGTTTCCAAACTTGCCAACTGATGGGAAAAAGGCTAAAGCATACCGATGGGAAATCACCTCAAGCTATTTGAAAATTAAGTGGTATTTACAGCACACTATTTCATGTGATTAATAGGCAGCATAGATATTTTTAAGTGACTGAAATGGTTATGAGCCATTAAAGGGTTTTTCATTCCTGCTTTCAGGATAAACTGATATGGACCAAACAGATTATGCCCTGTCAGTTCCTGTTCTCTAAAGCTGCAGCCTCAGGACAGCATTGAGTTTAGAGGGAATAAAGTCACCAAGTGAAGACGTCATTGTTGTACAAACAAAATTAAATATGCATGGGAGAGGGACAGAAAGATACCTCAGTTTTTCGCAGTGTAGCTGTAGTGGACAGAATAGTAGGAGGCAATAACAGAAATGAATATCAAGCAGCCAATAAGATGTACCCTTTGCCCTCAGAAAAGCTTCGTGAAAATCCACCTTTCCCTGCTGTTATCAGGTCTTGAATTGTGTGTGGTTGGATATTGGACTTTCTCTCCAGAGAGAGGACCTTCATGAATGATGATAGATTAAAGGGATGGAAAATCAACTTCCTTGCAAAGGTCCAGTGTTGTTTAGATCTGCTGGATCCACAGATGGGGGTTGACTTTATGTGCCAGAAACTAGGCAACAGCATACTGGTCTATGAAAGTGTCTCATATCCCTTTATGGTCATAGAACCATGCATAGCAATCATTAAACCTACTGACTCCCTGTAGACTCCCAAGATCATTACATATCTCCTGCATTGATGAACAATTCGCAGCAGACACGGGTTGGAGGTTTGCCTTCTTTCACATATAAACCATGAAGAATCATGTCTTTGCATATTAGCCAAGTGATTTTAGTGCGTTTATGTTATGGAAATTATTTGTACTGTTTATCAACTTGCATGCTAAGCATCTAATAAGATGTTTAAAAATGTTTGTCCATGCAATAATGAATATTTTTTTTATTCCTGATATTGGTTCTATAATTTTAAAAGGTCAAACATACTGCTAATTGACATTTGGGTTAATGCCTCGTCTGTGTAGCCACCTTCTTGGTTAGATTAGTGCATTTAAAACTATAATCCTTCTTCATATGGTGTTTGTTACTTTGCTCGTCATGTATAATCCCCTGCATGCTACCTTCAAAGGTGGTGAAGTACCTGCTGAAGAAGCTGGAGCTGACCTACCATAGAAACATCACTACCGGTGGTTACAGTTGCGGCACCCGCAGGAAGCTCTCCACTGCGCTGGCTCTCATTGGACATCCACAGATCCTGCTCCTGGTGAGGACACACCTGTTCGCGCCGCTGTGGCTGCCCGTTTAATTGACTAACTGGCCACCAGACAGCAAATATTAAACTAACTATACACTACTGTTCCTCCTGAAAGAGTCTTTGAAGTAAAGTAGATATTGATCCCCTAGACTTGACAGATCTCATATAGTTAATTAGTCTGCTTTCTCGGGCTTACCCAAGGGTGGTCTTCCCTGTAACTTTTAACTTTGTTTCTGCCTTATGTCTCAATCAAATCCTTCCTTTTCTTCTTCTCTCTCCTTCCTTCTGTCTCTCCGTTTGTTTCATTTCCTCTGTGTCTTTTTAATTTCCCCATCCTCTCTTGAATTTTTCCTCTACCTCTTGTCTTTCTTGTTGTCTTTATTTCTTGCCTTTTCTATTTTTTGCTTTGTCTGTAACACCGAGCCTTCCCATCTCCCTTCCTATTTTGCAATTATGCATGAGTGTTTACTCTTTCTTGTTGCCCTTGTTTTTCCCTTTGCCCTCTGTATGCACTGCACTCTGTTTGCAACACACTGCCCTCCTCAATTAACTACTTGTTTTCCTTTGATCCCTCCTTTTGATTTCAACCGTCCTCGCCTTCTTTCACACCTGCTATCCTCTTCGCATTCCTCCTCTCTCCATAGGATGAGCCGAGCTCTGGCATGGACCCTCGCACCAAGCGCCACCTGTGGAAAATCATCTCTGAAGAAGTGAAAGGGAAATGTGCCGTGGTCCTCACCTCTCACAGGTTAGGATAGTAGCACATACACACACCTGCTGCAGTTTGTCTTTGGTTATCATATTGTATTACAGTTACAGTTAAGAGGTAAAGTGCGCCATATTAACTGTCGATAGCAAGTAGGATAAGTAATAACTGCTAATTACTGTATGTTCAAAGGGCGCTAGTTTGACCTTTTATCTTTCTCTCCTCGTCTGTGCATCTCAGCATGGAGGAGTGTGAGGCACTGTGCAGTCGCCTTGCTATCATGGTGAAAGGGCAGTTCCGTTGCCTGGGCTCCCTGCAGCACATTAAGAACAGGTTAGTGACCTCTGTTCATCCTCCAATCCAGCTATTACTGTTCTCCCCAACCCCCCGCCTCCACAGCCTCCTGTGTGTACACCACCTCATGGCCACCCCTCAGACATGTAATAACACTGCTTTGTTTGTAAAAATCTTCTTTTTGCAGGTTTGGCAGCGGGTTTACTGTGAAGATGTACTTGGCCGAGGCCTCTACTGACACAGAGGCAATCACTGGTTTCATGCAGCGCCGATTCCCCAGCACTTACCTCAAGGTGAGCTTTGCCGGCTACCTAAAGTAGTCAAGAGAGCTTGGTAGAGAAGAAAGAAAGAGATTAAGAATACATTGCAGTGGAGACAATGTAACAATTTAATGCCTGCTCACTTTCATACGTTTTGGAATTGTCCAATAATCCAGTATGTATGTATGATTGCTAAATGGTCTAGGGAGCATTCATTTATGATATTCAAATCCCAGCTATACCATATGTGTCCTCACACTGAATGATGTTCACAGTTTTAAAGCAGCATTAAATCGATCTTTTCTGACACTTTGGGGCTAGTGGAACAAGCTCATATTGCCGGCATACAAAGTTGTTAAGGCGAACGTGTTAGCAACAGTTGCCTATTTAGACATGCAGCAGAAGTGGAGCAACATTGGCATTCATTTTAATTCATGTTTTTGTCCACCTGACGAATATAAGTCCAATATTCACCCCTCCTTTTGCTCTGTTTTGTTCTTCATCTCCTGGGGGAAATCTCTGGCTCTTTAGAAATCGAAATTCTCCACCATGTTTACAAGCTAGTTGCTGTTTTTGTCTTTTAGTTGTTTGGCGGGTTGTGTACATTAGGTCAGGGTTTTTTTGTTAGCTGCAGCTAGAAATGTGGTTGAGGGCTGTGAGAGTGGACCAAAACAGCAAAGTTGTGGGCCATAAAACCAACATAATGAGCTGAAAGGCGTTACAAAATAAAAACTCTATAGAGCCCAGTGGAACTGCAGCATAGGGTTATCATTTTCTGTATATTTGTCACCCATTTCACATGACACATATTCATTTGATCCATTGCTAAAATGTCAGTTTGTGCAGCTTTAAAGAATCCATATAAAATGATCTATGTGTTATTGACTTTAATACCTCACTACCTGTGTGGGTGTCTTCTTCAAAAAATCTAAATTCTCTCACTTTGTTAACTAAGAATAGAAAGCAATTCATTATATAACCAGTTGTGTTCAAGGTATTAATGTTCCCCATCCCAGAAATTCAGTTAGTGTCAATATATATTTATATATATGTATATACATATACATACTGTATATAGAATAGGGTATAGTATACTGTATATAGACTAACAATTTCAATTTCAATTTTATTTGTAAGTGCCAATTCATAACACAAGTTATCCCAGGAAACTTTTCAAATAGAGCAGGTCTAGACTGCACTCCTTATAAAATTAATTACTGAGACTCAACAGTTCCCAGAAAACAAACAAAGACAAAGACTGTAGATCTCCCTCTCAGGAAATAATTTTGTATTTTTATTTATTTATTATTGCAAGATTGAGCAATCTGGGAAATGTATTTTGTTGATATGTGTGATGTTGTTTTCTCAGTTTGGTAAAAACAGATTTTCACTGTATTTTACTGAATTAGAGAGTATATTTCACAACATTTAACCCTCTGCCTATGCATTCTTTCCCAATACACAGGACCAGCACTCCACTATGGTGGAGTACCACGTACCAGTTGCTCCAGGAGGGGTGGCTGACATCTTTGACCAGCTGGAGTCCAACAAGAATGCTCTGCAGATCAAACACTTCTCTGTGAGCCAGACCACACTGGATGAGGTGAGAAAAAGAGACAAGACATAAACAGAGAAAGAGGGAGAACTAGTGTGAGGTTTTGTAGGGGTGGGTAGATGGCAGCGAGGGACAGAAAAAAGGGACAAGAGATGAGAGAAGAGGAGTGAGGGTGGGAGGGGAAGCAGGGACAGAAGAAAGCTGAGTGGGAGTGAAAGAGTGAGTTGAGAAAGTTTAAAAGAGGCAGAGGGAAACTGACAGAGGGTACGCCTGAGGGAAAATAAATGGAATATGAGTTAGGGAGAGCTTTATATGCAGCCAATGCTGATATTCTTCAACCACTCTGCCCTTCTGGGGCTCTGGGATTGGAAGATACCATAGACAGACTAAAAAGAGGGGGATTGGGGAGGGAAACTGACCAGCAGATTAATTTAAATTAATGGAGTTAAGAGAAAAATAATTGTCTTTTATATTGGCATTTGCCTGGCACTTAAATTATTACTGAACCTTCACAGGTCTTCATCAACTTTGCCATGGGAAAGATTGGCATGGAAACCATGCCAAGACTAATTCACAGCGAGGATGAAAGTGATGGCCTGGGCTCCATTAAAGCAGTTGATACATAGAGCTGACTGCCATCTTTTCTTTGCCATTTTGTCCACTGTGAAATGAAACACTGTTTCAAGTAAATCTGCCTTTAATCTGCCCTTTATGTAAAAAGTAAGAGTTTAAACCATTTGTGTTTTAGAAATACTGATTATTTCATGAAAATGTCATCATATGAAGGGTAATTTATGTCTATACTTAATAAATTAAACTATTAATGAAGAGCAGAAAAACACATGCACTTTTGCATACATGCACAGAAGTCTTATGTTTATTGACCTTTTTCCTATCTTACAAGTCTTTCTTTAATTCTACAGATCTAATTATTTATGAAGGATGACATTAAATCATACACTATTCATTTCTTTCTCTGGTGGGGCTTTCTCTGTTCACTATTAGATTATTGCACCATAGTCAAAAACACTGTTTCCTATTTAGAATCAATTTGATTTCAACTTAATATTGACAAAACCTGATTTTACCTTATCTTAAAGAACTTATGCACTAAATATACAACATGCCTAAAAAGGTCATTTTAATTGAAGGTAGATGCTATTGTGCCTACTGGATGAAATTTGACAAAAGAAAATATTCACACAGAAGAATATCCTCAATAGGCAATTTTTCCTTTCTTATTAACACTTCCTATAAGGGCATACCTGACTTCTAGAATGAATGTACTGAATATTTAATGGACTCTTGCCTGCTCATGGGACTGTGTATCAAGCCTAATTTTTATTATTCTAATAAAGCTATTTTTCAAATGCAACCGCTGTTCATATGCCTATTAGCCTACATGCTTTTATTGTGTTTGAGCGTCGGATAACATTCAAAGATCTTTTATTGTGCTGCTATGGTTGACGTAGACCACTAAAAATCCAGCTGATTTCTTATGACATCATGCCTGATGTTATTTTCTTAAAAGTCATTGAAGAAGAGAACAAAGTCAGGTAATCACACAAACATGTAAGATGAAGACAGTCAAGGGGATATAGCGATAGGTCACAGCTAAAATAAAAATGATTTTGAAGAAGAAAATGTGAACATATTTATTGAGAAGTATTGCTATTGACATAAGCTGCCTAGATGACTCAAACATAATATTTCTTCTGTGTATATATGAGTTCAATATTGCATTAGACCTGGAAGGGGATACATACATTTTGTTTATGCATTTTTGATTCAATCTAATTTAGGCACATAAATACATATTTATTTATAGTATGCCTTGGGTAGTGCATTAAACTATTGTTGACTTATTTATCAGGCCAGCTATTCTATAGAAATAAACTGCAGCAAACATCAGTGTCAATATGAATAATTGTGTCCAGTATATGCCAAATGGCCCCCAAAGAAGTTGAAGAAATGGAGCTTAAGAACTGAAGAGATGCTAAAAAATAGAAACAATATACATTGTAATCTTCTGCTGTTCGAAATTAAAATAATATTCCGACATCTTTAATGTCACAAACTGTATATTTACACACATATGTATATATAATATATCTTATTCCATATTTGGGGGTTGGGCCGGAACTTACGTCATCGCCGTTGTTACGGCAACCAACACAAGTTACTTCCGCAAATCTTTGGCGGGAGATGCAAGTAACCAGGAAGGAAGTTCGGCTTGTTTTGCAGTCTTCATTCATAAGCGAGAAGGAAACAAATAACACTTCTTCTAAGAATGGACGACAATGTCCTCGCAGGGACAAAGGACTGGAGGAAGACGAAGGAGGCGGTTGCGAACTTTCGACGACTGCTACTTTGCTCGAAATGGTAAGTTAATGTTACTGTTACTGAGGTGAGCTAACGTTAGGACAGTCCTTTGTTGTGTAACGTTAATAAAATACACTGCAGCTACAGTCAGCACCATGTAACGATACACGTCTGTGTGTTCAATCCAGCTGGGTTTATTTCTAATGCTAACAGACAGACAGTAAAACCTGTTCGCAATAACTGAACAGGATTAGTTACACTGGTCAGAATATGACTATAACTTTATATAATCAATTCAGCTTAACAGTAACTAACACTACTAACTCAAGTTAGCTCAAATGAAAATTTTGAATAACTTTGCCAGCAAACATAAGCAATTTTGCAGAAGTCGCTGATTATTGTAGAATAAATAAATTATCATCAGGATCGTTACAGTTCGTTAACCTGTGCTGCGGTGTGCCTGTACTGTGTTCAACTTATCTCAAATCAAGTGTAGTAGGGCTTTGCTGAAACCCCATTTATATGTGTGCCAGGGTAAACAAATAAACAAGTGTGCAACAATAACAGAGGAGCACAGTGCAGACAGGAGCACGACATTATAAAAGACACAACACAATATGGGAAGCGAGATAATACATCACAGATAAATAGAACAATATGGTTTGGGCTCAATAAAAACACACAACACATGGCGGTACACACTACACACAGCAGCTGGGCTGGCCCGAGGATGGACAAGCTGGCATGTTGTGCAAAAGCTTTACAGAAAGGACACTTTAAATCTGATTGTGGTTGTCATTCACAATTTATGCATTTCCAGTACTGTTCAGGGACCCCCAGTCTGCAGAAATATTCAAATACACTTTGACCAAATGCAAAAAAATGCATAGTTTTTGCCCCAAACTGCATGGGATTGGCATAAAGTGGGGATGTCTAAAAAAAGAGGAGACTTGTGGGTACCCATAGAACCCATTTTCATTCAGATATCTTGAGTTCAGAGGTCAAGGGATCCCTCTAAAAATGACCATGTCAGTTTTTCTATCGCCAAGATTTAGCCTAACTTTGGAGCTTTATTTAGCGTCCTTTTTGACATGCTAGCACAATTGTTTGGTACCAGTGGATGTATTAGGTCATCTAGTTTCCCCCCCGGACTAAGTAGAGAGAGTGAAGAGTCTTTAATTTAAAATAAATGGTAAATTTAGGGTTTCCACTATCCAGTGCAATTACCCAATCAGACTATAGTACAGCTACTCAGGACGATCTCTATAGTGGGAAGAAAACATTCCCATCAGCATCAGCTTTACTCACTTAAAGTCTACATATCTTAGTCTGGCAAACTGGACTGAATT